AGTACAATTGAACCTATCACCTAAAAAGTGAGCATAGTACCAGATAGGTAGTTTTTTAACCTTTTTCCCCTTCCCTCCTTTTTCCCTTTTGTATTTCTCAGGATCTATTGTCCTCATCTTTATGTTCATGTGTACCCGATGTTTAGCTCCCATTTATAAGTGAGAATATGCAGTGTTTGGTTTTCTGTTTCTGCATTACTTAGGATAATGGCCTCCAGCTGCATCCATATTGCTGCAAAGGATATGATTTTATTCTTTTTTATGGCTGTGTAGTATTCCATGGTATATATGTACCACATTTTCTTTTAGTCCACCATTGATGGGCACCTGGGCTAATTCCATGTCTTTATTATTCAAAAGCACTACAATTGTAATGACTCCAAACTATCCCCACATTCAGATAAATGTACCACAATATTTTAACCATTTCTCCATTATATGGAAGTCAGTTTTCAGTTGTGTTTTTTTAACATTAGAAAAATAATGCAGCAAGCCTTGAACACCAATCTTTTCATGTTTCTCTGATTATTTCTTTAAGATAAAATCCTAGATTCGAATGATCAGGTCAAACAGTATTTTAAAGTAGAAAAATTCTAAAAATCAAAAAAATTCCTTGTCGGTAGAACATTATATATAAATGAATGTGATTATAATATTACTACTTATTTTCCTCTTTTTTATTATATATAACCCCATTTTGAGAGTAATTTTCATTTGGGAAATAAACTTTTAATAAAAGTGGGACTTTCCTAGAGACATTGTATTTATCATATTTGTAAAATGTCTTTCCATTTTGTGGATTCTCTCTCTGAGAGGAGACGGTGTGCAGTACATGAAACAAGAAGTGTCATTTGGCTAGAAAATGGGTTTGTGCTCATGGGGAAGAGTCAGCAAATTAGGAGAAAGAATGGTCCATGTCAGTGACATTCATCTGTCATGGAATGTGCCCAACTGCAAGGACACAGCAGCCCACCCAGAACCCTTTACAGGGTCTGCCCTTACCAGCATGGCACCTCAAAGTTTCCATTGACTGCATCGGAGATCAACACTCGGTTAATTAGTCACAATTTTCAGCATCTAAGAGTGTCAACCAGGGGTCTGCCTGTTCACATGGAGAGATTGCTGCTCAGAGAAGAGAGGAGCTGAGATCTGTCCCTGCAGCTGGCAGGCTCTGGGACAATTGTCAGGGGATTGAAGTGATTCAGCCATAGAGAGCAGCAGGCCGCAATTTCACTGACAGTTTTGCATCTGTCCCTCTCTCTGCTAAATGCTGTGGCTGGTAGCAAACTTAAAAGGGAAGGCTGGAAGAGAACAATAAAGGGAGGTGAAAGCTCTTTAAATCATTTCCTTAGCTGAATTAAGATGAATCTCTAGTAAAGAACCATGATAACTGGCCGGACCCAGCCGATAGACTAGTTTTAATTGAAACACAAAAGCTTTCAGGGATGCTTTGGGATGAGAACCATAGTGCAAGTTACATTCTGTCTCTACCTACCTAGTTTCCATTGTGAATTTCCTAAATATATTCATTATTTTCCTCAGATTGGGTCTGGGGACAGGGGAATGTATATTAGAAAAAGCCAGAGCCACAGTTTTCTCCATATTGTAGTCAATTCAAAAGAAAAACAGTGGTTAAATGTTTCTAGGTTGCTGCCAAAGCTTTTATTTCAAAGATATATTGATTTATAAAGTTTCAAGACTTTGACAGTGATATACTTCCCCCACTAAATGTCCCTAAAACATCCCCTTTTCTCTTTTGGCAAAAGCAGATTTCCTATATCTAGCCAGAGTCCCAAGAGAATTCTTTAAAAATCATACAGTTTAACCTTTCAATAAATGCCTGGGTCCCTCATGCCCAGTGACTAGCCAAACACCTCTTGAGTGAAGGACTCTCTATCCCTTACAGAGTAGTGCATCTCCAATCTGAACAGTTCTATTGTATCAGGCAGCCTTTAGCTGTACCACAGTTTGAATGCCTGAGCTTTCTGCTTTTTTATTTTTGTGATGACATAGAGCAAATGGCTTCTACTTCCATATTATATTCCTTAACACATTGCAGATTTCTATTGTGTCCTTTTTGAGTCTTCCCGTTAGGGCATAAACATTCTCAGTAGGTTTGTTTTTTCTGTTAATTCCTTCATCAAGTATTTATTGCCAATACTATGTGCTAGACAAGGCTCCAAAAAAACAAAGATGAATACTACGCAGTTCCTGCCTTCTACAAGCCCAGTTTAGAGGAAAGATAGACTCAGAAACAGACAACTACAAAATAACACAATGCATAACAGAAGTAAGCATAAAAACCTACAAAAACACAGAAATGTGATCTATCTAAAGAAGGGTTGAGTGATAATTTAGTATTAACTTGAGCAGACACCGTCTGAGCCACATCTTCAAAAATGAGAAGAAATGAACTAGTCAAGGAGGAGATGTGAAGTTTCTGATAGAGAAAACAGCATAAATAAATGTCAAGAGATGAATTATAGTGAGGTCTGTGCAGTAAAGAACCTGCAGTTCACTTCAGTATTCCTGGGGGGTAAAGGGTGAAGCTGGAAATAAAGTTGACAAGGTTAAGAGTTAGATCACAAATATATTTCTCACATGACAAAGTTTTGAGTACCCTCTCCAAACACGTTGACAGTATCAGGAGAAAGTGTTTGGGTATCACCCAATCCCTGCTTGCCTCTTTCCCTACTCTCCTTAATCAAGAAATTATTATCCCTGAGATGCTAACTATAGTGAGACCAATACACTCTAGTTGATATACTTAGAGCTTGACCCAAATTACATTGAAAATACTCATCCTCCCATTTTTTCTTTCCCAAACCTCTGAATCTTAGAGAACTGCCTCATTAAGTCCCCTAAACACTATCTCCATGGCTACATACTTGACAATGCAGTTGAGGTTATACAGTACGTGAAATGTACTGATCACTGGATGCCACAGTATCATTGCTTTTTTTGCTATGCTTTGAATATCCGTGAAGGCAGAAACCATCTGGCCTTAACCTCTGCAGTCTTAGTTTAGAGTCAGTTGCATAGGAAATGCTCAACCAATACTAACACAGTCATTTGGTGTCAATAAGTATTTAAAATCCAAAATGATTTCTCGTATACTCTGCTCTGGTAAATTTCATGATTAAGGTACATCTATCCAATTCTTCTTGCTTTCTTTGTTCCAACTTTATTGTCTGTTCCTTGGTGTGGCATACCCTTTCTCACCTAAGGGCTTTTACACAAGTTCTTCCCCCTATGTCAAAATGTTCTTCTCTATGTCACCAAGTCACTGTGTTTGGTTCTCTTACTCACTCCTACACTCTGCATTTCCCCTTCATGTACCTTATAAACTGACATATTTACTCCTGTAGCTCCAGGGCTTACTCTAGTGCCAGGTACAGAGGTGGTGTTTAATAACTTTTAAATAAATTCATGATTATATGACTACTAATAAGTAATAACTCTGTTCAGTGAACACTAGACTGTTTCAAAGAGCAAACAGAATTAGAGAAGACATCGGAAGTATAAAGACATGGGATTTTAGTTGCCATAGCTGAATTATTCATTTCACCCTTTCAACATATATAAGAAATATACAATTGCAAAAACAACCCTCTGGAACTCAGTTTTATTAATTCAGTCAATAAAAAATGCTAAACATTACCTTGACATTTGCAGTGGTATAGCTATCAAGTTATAGCTGATCTTATCTTGACATTGAACCTTTCTGACTAATCAAGTGCCCTGATTAATTTCTCTGAAATAACTACTGAATTCGTAGTCCTCATCTCTTTTTACCTCAGAGTGGAAATTAATCAAGTGATCATAAATTAATAAGCTATATTTGTTGTAAGAATAGAGAAATTTAATATCCAGTGATAAGGGACTGGTTAAATAAGTGATATGTGACCTTGATGAAACATGACTAGCCATTTAAGATGAATAATTATAAAGACTGCCTAGTTATACAGAAAGGGCTTAAAATATAATATGGTTTGGAAAAAATTACAACACAACTATGAAAACATATGTAGCTCTGGAGATGGGAGATGGGGATTAAAGGAGACTTTAGAAATGAGAAATAAATAATATGGTTTGTGGATTTGGGGGGACTTTTAATTATGCCTTATGTACAAATTTTAGAAAGATATACATATATATCCTTTAGATTTATATGTATCCATATATATCCTGATATATATCCATATATATATCCTTATATATATCTATCCATATATATATCTCTCTCTTTAGAAAGAGATAAAGAGATATATGTATATATGTATACGTATATACGTATATATACACACACACACAGGATATCAGTTACTATAATCTACAGCAGTAAGTGTAAAGGCTTTATTAGAATGCAAACTACTCAGATTTACATGCTGCTACACTATTGCATGTCTTTTCTATTGTTATTGCAAATTAAAGTCTGTTTATTGTTCAAAAGTATCTCTCGTGCATTATGACTCTAGAAGAGGGCCCTGTCTTCTGAAGTGGAAGTTTTCTGTTACTTAGAAACACACTTATTTGACAGATAAGTGATATTAGAACAACAATACCAGAAATAAGAAAATGAAACACCCAAGTTCACTGTTCTATTAAATCAAATTCTTTCATGTAACTTTTTTCTTCCTTTTTCACATGAATGTATCATTTTTACAATTGACACTCTAATGATTCTTTATATTTTTTCATATTACACAATTTGTAAGTTTTTATTTCCTGCTTCATAAATGTGATTTTAATTGCTGCATAAAGGAAGCCATTTTTAAAAGCAAAAATATAATGCCTCTTGCATTCTTACAGTGCAGGAATAAACCTGAATGTTCTTCCTGACCTTCCTTTTACTGCTAACCATGCACTTTATGGTTTAGCACACAAGACTGTTGTCACCTGATTTCCATTTGAGTAGTAACATGATAATGCAGAGTGCAAGAGGAACTAGGTTTTAGGTGACAGACACATCATTTAATATCTGCTTTTTGTTTCTACAGGGGAATTCTGGCCTGGGATTTAGTATTGCTGGGGGGACAGATAATCCCCACATTGGAGATGACCCTGGCATATTTATTACGAAGATTATACCAGGAGGTGCTGCAGCAGAGGATGGCAGACTCAGGTAAAGATCTGAAACATCAGAATGATTTTGAAAGTAAATCTGCTGCATTAATGAGACACGTTTGTACCTTTGAAGAAGAATAATTCTACAAAAGTTCTGTACTTGAAAGATTTTTAAGGCAAGCTTCCTGAAATGACTTTGCAGATGTCTGGCTACTGATTGAATTTCAATAGTATTTGATTTGTGTTTGTTGGTGGCTACCACACTGAACACTGGGCCAGGCACTGTGAGGAGGGGATGAAGATAAATCTTTTGTCTGGATGAGGCCTTCAGTCTAGTTGGAAAGAACATAAATATGAACTAATGGGCAAATAATATAATTACCAAAATGATATACTCTAAGTAGCATTAGCAAGTAAAGCACTGTTATAGATATCGTATGTATTCTCAGATTCAGCAACCATTTATAGGGCTTTCTCTAGGCATTTAGAGAGGGAAAAATTGAGTCTTAAAAAAACATTCCCTGGGAAGATTTTTCTGAGTCTTGAATGATAATTAAGATTTCACTAACCCTACAAATCTGAGTGGGAACACAGAGAACAGAACAAGTTGTCCCTCAGAAAAAAAAAGGGAAACCAGCTTGATTTGGATGAAGAGCACAGAGTGGCCTGACTCAGTGGCTCATGCTTATAATCCCAGTACTTTGGGAGGCCAAGACAGATGGATCACTTGAGGTTAGGAGTTCGAGACCGCCTGGCCAACATGGCAAAACCCCATCTCTATTAAAAATACAAAAAGTTACTGGGCCTGGTGGTGGGTACCTGTAATCCCAGCTACTCTGGAGACTGAGGCGGGAGAATGGCTTGAACTTGATCCCAGTGAACTGAGATCATATCACTGCACTCTCGGCTGGGTGACAGAGTGACACCATGTCTCAAAAAGAAAAACAAAAAAAAAGACACATGGTGAGTTTAGGTTGGTGGAGGGAGTGTAGCCAGGTACTTCTCAGTGATAGAGAGTAGTAGCTGCTTGAGCTGGGCTACTTTCTTTAAGGAACTTAATTGTGGGAAATGAGAATTACCCTCATGGGGTAAATAACATAAAATGCTATGAGATCAAAACCTTAGCTAAAAGGCACTATAGATTGGAAAAATTAGGAGAGATTTTTCAGGAAGAATAACGTGCCCTAATGTCATTTTAGCATCCCTACTAGGTTGTAAATCCCGTCAGGCCAAGCAGTTACATATATATAAGTGGCTCAATAAACTCTTGCTGAAGAAATGAATTTTTGAATAAGTAAATAAATAAAGTGTAGAAGAGGAAGAAGTGAAAATTAATGTGGGAGGTAAGATAGGAAGGATATGTTAAATAGAAAATAGTTATGACATTTGTTAATGACTGTAAGGAAGAGTTTATTCAAGAGGAATCACTGCAATGGAGATTTTGCAGTAGGGGAGGGAGATTGGTCTTAACTCTGAATACAAAAAGCACAAGTGAAGATGTATAGCCAAAGAGCTGTGGAGTGGAGGTGGCAGTTAGTGCATGGAAAATTACTGAGAGAAAACGTCAAGGGTAAGGGGAATTCTGGCTAAAGGGACTTGGCAGGATTCTTGTTGAAGGCAGGCCAAGCTGATAAATTATCAAGGGTATGGGATAAGGAATTTGATCGGATACCAAGGGAGAGAAATTTTTGATAAACTGACTCAGCAGGATTCTTGCTAAAACTGGGCTAACGAGACCAAATAAAAAGCCTAAGGTCAAGGCCTAATTGAGAGTAGGACCCAGAGAAGCCTGACTCAAATTTAATCAAGGACAGAGTCTTATTAAATTACGCAAGTGAAGTCCTGTAGGTAAGAATGACTTTAGCTTGCATGGAGCCACATTGAGGACTGTGACTTATGGAGCAGAAATGTAAGCTTCATAGCACTTCCTCAGTCTGTTTTTTCATTAAGCATATAAACTACTTTGCTGTTTTTCTTATGAATCAACCAAAAATACTTTTATTCCTTACCCCGTTTTTCTGATGTAGTGATTACTTTTGACAGCTGCATGTTTACAGCTTGAGGAAGAGAATCGCATTTTTTTTTTTCAGGTACATGTGCATCCTTTATCAACAAAAAAGATACTCCCTCAGGAAATAAGCTTTTTGACAATCGAATTTTTAAGCTGAATTAGCTAAATTAATTTCTGAATGAGGACATATCCCCACTAGAGTGAAAGGTTTGAAAAAGATGCTGTGTAATTCTATGAGTCATGGTGGGGATTCTGTTTGCTAACACTGGACCCTAAAGAAGCTCCATTTTTAAAGTTTAGAAATAGATTTGTTAGAGGATAATTTAGAAATTATCTCTAAATTATGATTATGGCGGGCCTTTAACCAAATTCTGGCTCTAAGCATGAAACAGATTTTAGGTTATATGTTTACTTTACAATTAAGAATGAAAAGTGATATCCCTTGAGAGTGCCAGCATTCTTTGCCTGCAAACTTGGTGGCAGCCCCATGCCTACAGAGGTAAAGCAAAGTTCTGCTGTGCTAGAAACTTTATTCTTTCATAGTTGTAAAGAGAATAATGATAATGAAAGCTGACATTTCTTGAGATTTTATCATGTGCAGGACATTGTGCTAAGATAGATACAGAGATGTCAGATGTAGACACACACACAGACACACACACACAGAATCTCCTACTTCAGTAGCCATATAGGTAGGTACTATTATTGTGGCCATAATAATAAGGACTCAGAAAATTAAGGCTTATTGATTTTAAGATCACCCAGCTAGCTTTGATCACATTAAAAATCCAGTTCTGAATGGCACTTAGGTACTCTCTAAACTCTCATGTGTTGGTAGAATTCTTACATCATGTGGTCTCTGCCTAAAAACTCCCAAAGGTAAAGTTTTCACAATGTTAAGAGGTAATTCTGAATATAACAGAGTTTGTTATTTTTCTATTGAGCCACAATTTCCCCCTTTTTTTTTTTTTTTTTTTTTTTTTTTTTTTTTTTTGGTCTCTACCCATTGGTCCTTATTTTGGCTTCCTGGAGCCAGGGCCATGACCTATGACTATGTGTATGAATATTGCCTACTAAGGTTGTACAGCAAACAACCTGCACGATTTTGTACAGTGCTTCTAACTAGACCAACAAAATTCACCTTCTTTCCAATCCACATTACAGCCTTTGCCTACGTGCAGACAGCTAATAAGTATAGATTTTCAGTATTTGGCAGGCGGTCTAGTCCAAGGCATACATTTTATAGAGGGGGATTCTGCAGCTCAGACAAGTGACTTATCCTGAGGCATAAATCATTTGGGCATCCTATTTAACTAAAATCTGAATGTCCTGACTCAAATAATTAAGATTCTTAGGTAGTGCTAAGAGACAGTAACACCAAAGCCTGAACTAAACCTGACTAATTCTTTTCTCAGTGTGACAGGAACACTGAGGCTGGACCAACAAGCCGTGAAGAGTATGTTTTATCTCACCATTAGTCCTTAAGGACATGGAAGAAGGACATTGCAATTAGCTCTGGAAAGATGTGGGTTCTAACTTCTGTATATAACACAATTGACCTTGGACAAGTTAAACTCACTTAATAGCTGTTTTCTCATTTGTAAAGTGGTGACAATAATACCTACTTCACTGAGATGTTCTGAGGTGGGATAACCGAGCTCCTTAGCGATGGCAGGCACATAATTGGTGCTCAATAAATTTTACCACCGTTTTCCCCTTTCTCCTTACCTTCCCTCTCTGTCTCTAAGTAGTTTTTCCTCTCCTCTTGCCTCTGTTTCTTTTCTTCTCTATGCCCTTTCCTATTATACCTTCTACCTTTCCTTCTGCAGTCTCCTTTCACCCTCTATGTTCTTCCCTAAGTTTCCTGTCCCTATCTTTTCACACGCTTTTTTCTCTTAGTCATAACATGGAATTAAAGACCATTAAAAAAAAAATAGGTATGATGCCAAAAACGGTCCTATACTCCTGTTCTCAAGTTTATAATGTAAGCCGCTCAACCTGCTATGTTTCCTTTGCTTTAAAAACAAAAACAAAAACAAAAAACCTATAAATTAAACATAGTTTTCTTTTTTGTAAACAAATCCTTTGGTGTTTCCTTTGAGTTAGAGACACTTAAATTTCTTTAAAATGTACCTTTGCATTATAAATTGCTATGGCCTGAATATTTGTATCCTCCCAAAATTCATCTGTTGAAAGCTGATCCCCAATGTAATGATATCAGGAGGTGGGGCCTTTGAGAGATGATTAGGTTCTGAAGGTGGAGTACTCATGCATGTCTTTGTAAGAGAGATTCTGACTTATATTAGTGCCCTCATAAAAGCTTCCTTGCCCCTTCCTTTATGTGAGGACGTATCTAGAAGGTGTTATCTATGAACCAGGAAAAGGACCCTCACTAGACATCAAATCTGCCAGTGCCTTGGTTTATAGGCCATTTAGTTTATGATATTATATAATAGCCCAATAGACTAAGATATAAATTATATTTTTGACAGTTAAATAACACTAACATTTACAGAGAAGCTAAGGTCCAGAGAAATAAGGTGATGGGTTTGCTCCAAGGAGAGTAGTAATCTGAACTCTGAATTAGTGGATATGTAATAATCAGATCAATAATAATAATAATATTAATAAAGACCAACATAGTGCTTACAATGTGCGAAGTCATTTTCTGGCACATTAGGTCATTTAAAGCGTTAAATGACTCAATAAAACTCATACTATTATTTATTACTCATTTTTCAGATAAGAAAATTGAGGAACTGAGAGGTTAAGCAACTTCCCTAAGTTTGTACTATTAGTAAATATTGGAGCCAGAATTTGAATGTAAGCAGTTTGACTCCAGTGTCCATGTTTCTATTTTATAAGCTATAATGCAGAAAAACAACAACAACAACAACACTTAAAAGACCCACTGTGGTAAGCATCATTCTAAATGCCACTCCTAGACAGGTGCAGTAGCTCATGCCTGTAATCCCAGCACTTTGCGAGGCCGAGGCGGGTGGATCACTAGAGATCAAGAGCTCAAACCCAGCCTGGCCAACATGGTA